ACACACACACACACACACACACAATAACTTTAATGTAATAGATATCTGCATCCATTGGATGCTGTTTTTGGGATCACCTGCTTCATTTTAAGGTGGTAAAACAAATTGCTTGTATTTATTCCTTTCTACACACTTTGCAGATTATTTTTTCTGTACTCCACGTGTTTAATCTGTGCACGCTCCAGCGGGGTGACAATCATTATAGTCGCGCTTTGGAGTGCGCGCGCATTCGGCCGTGCGTCGTCGCGCTGCGACCGCAGGAGAAACGAGGTCCAAACTGATTTTTGTGCGTCCCACCTGAGCACTGACTTCACCTGCACTGACAGTCGCCTCGCTGCATGGAAATGAATGGAAAGCGAGCGACGTCGCCTCCCGTGTGTCGAGCCCTACACACATGCAGCGGCGCGCGCTCCTCCCGCAGCAGGCAGTGTGGTCGGTCGGCATCTGACCGGAGGACGCGCCGTCACGTAAATATGTAAACAGTTCGGCGCTCATTTTCACACACCTGAACTAGGTCCGGATATGTTTTCCCCCCTCTTCATTTGCGCTCTCACCCATGCTTCCTCTGTTTTGATTCCAGACGGTTAAGTCATCAAAAAGAATTGCGCGGTTGGCCGGTAGACTACAGATCTCTATCATAGGAMAAATTTATATAGTTTCTACCGTATATTGTTTATATCGCACATTCCTACTGTCATATTTTATTTATTTTCTTCTTCAGGGCTCTTGTGAATAATTTCAAAGCACAGAAATCTCCAGCTGTGCAGCAGGTTGGTGTGTYGGCCTTTTACCAGGTGGTCTCTTTTGTGTGTGAGGACACGCTGCGGCATCCCCCAACACGGCAGTACCTCTCGTCGTGTGTGGAGATACTGGGACAGGTGTGCAGCCACACAAACATACTCATTTCCACATTTTTATCAGGCAGAGATTTTTGCTACATCTATCTTTGTTATTGTATTATGATAAAAAAAACACAAAACATCCTCACCTAATATAAAAGAAGACCACTTGCCTTGCTTTTGAAGGATTTATGTTTAATGGCGATTGAAGAAAAGCTTGTTTCTATCTTTTTACCATAAACAGCTTGAATTGCATCAGACTCTAACCCTCTTGGAATTTGAACAYGTTTAAAACAACACATGTCCACAGTTATCAAAAGCCTATTAGAATAAAACACACCCTGTGCCGTTTTTAAACTTACAGCACACTTTCTGTTTAGGACTGCATCACAACTCTGCACAAACATGGATGAATGTTTGATTAAACTATCATACCTCACCGGCACATTCACTCTCTGCAACACAAATAGTGAATGGATGCTTGGAAAACATCACGCAGGGCGAAGACGTGCAAAAACTACTGCAAAACATATTAAACAGGGAGACACTTTTTACAGCTGGTGAAACAGTTGTGTGGTAATGTTCATAAATATTTTGCACGTGTTTACTCTGCTGATGGTTTACACAGTAGTTTAGCAACGTCTCTGAGAGAAAAGACTTGTTTTACAAATGCTGACCTGCAGTTATTTGAAGGAGACATCAGGGATGAAGCTACATTTTCAGCCTTGAGGAGGTGGAATACCTCAGTTTTAATTTAAGCTTTTTCAAGTCACTGTMAAAAACTTTTTTATTGGACAGTGTGGAAAACAACGCTTCAGATCATCAGATGATTGGATTGCACCGCACAAGACGAAATACCATTCAGCACCTCTGTAACAATAAATACTAAAGTCTGTAAAAAGATGCTGCAACCCAGGCCAGAATATTTGATTTGCAGTAGTATTTTAGTTTGGGAACAGTTCATCACAGGACTGCAGGACAGAAACYGACCGAGCATTTCTTTGATCAAATGGACAAAACTGTTTAAAAATAAAAGTTCTTTTTGTATAACTCATGTTTACATTTAACTGCATTTTTTACATTTTATTTGCAGGTTTTTATCCAGGGAAATGCAGATGAGTGCGATCGTGTCTTGAAGGCCATCCTGGAGCAGAGGCTTCTTTGTCCCCTCATTTCCCCCTTCTTCACTCCAAACGCAGCCCCCCATCAGTTCGTCTCGCTCTACCAAGACGTGGTGACGTCTCTTCACCTTGACGTTGCTGATGTCATTTTCATGCTGCTCACTAAAGTGAGTCCACGCGCAAACACRTCGAATGATGGCCTTTTTCATTGGCTACACCTGCATGTCTTCAGTTTGCTCCTCCTCTCCTGCAGTTTGATTTGTCCCACTGGCTGAACGAGGCTCATCCCGTGTTTTCGGAGAGAACTCGTCTGCTGGAGCTGATCCACGGAGCGCTCTGTGTCTGCGGCCGAGACCCCGAGCCGGAGCTTCTCACACCTTTCCACCTCTTCACCAAACACTGGACCATGCTTTTACGCCACCACTTCCCCGACCATTACAGYGACTGTCTGCGTCTGCTCATGACCAGTGAGTTGATGTGTTCAATCCAAGCAACCAATAACAGCAGTGCTTTTACATTATGCCTCTCGATTGCATAAGTTCACATTCATACAGGACTTGATTTGTTTTGTCTTTTTTTTGCATTGAGAAAGTTTAAGAATGAAACTAAGTAAAGGAGTGATYGGAAAAGTACATTTGTCACCAGCAGCATCTGTTCACATCTTGTTTGTAATGTTTTGTGGTGAGACTGATGGATAATGAACCATGATTTTCAAAACAAAACCCTATTGTTCTTCTTTCAATGGGTGCAGAGAAAACATCAGTCCCTCTGAAATTATGCCTCCTACTCATTTTTCATAAATAAAATGAATAATAAAACGGTGAAGTTTGTTGAATGCTTCCATTGATCTAAGCTTTTTTTGTCTTTTGAAGTCTTTCATTAAGAGAATTCCTTACAGAGCTAAAAACTTGTATTGAGTTTTGACTCTATGAATTATCCACTTCAGGTATTTTTTTTTTTTTAAACAAAAGCACGTTTTTATTTACCAGGTTCATCAAACCAGATGCTGAGTCCAGAGTGCTGGAAAGTGACGTTGCGAGTGCTCGGCTGCTTGCCTCCATCCCGAAGCACCAAGAGCAAACCTGAAGTGTCCCTTGGCAGCACTGTTGGACCCTCAGCTTCTCCCTACAGACCCCCCATCAGTCTCTCGCCTCAGCAGGTGTTGTTGAGTTCAGTCACTGTTTGTCAGTAGTGAACATGTCTTTGTCAATGATTTCATCGTTTGCCGACAGGTGGACGAGACAGTTGAGTGGCTGAGTGAGTACTTCCTGCGAAGTCGTCTCAGTAAGCCTGACCTCCGCAGCTTCGGCCTCTTCTCTGCCTGGGTTCCCTACATCAGTCACGTCGTTACCTTCTGGGAACATCTGATTGGTTGTGTTATCAGTGTGCAGGTCAGCAGCTGCGCCAGAGAGTCTGTGGGCAGCAGCAGAACGATGAAAGGTACCAGCAGATTGATTTATTCCAGTGAGGTGAAGCTTGGTGATTAGTTGTTCAGTTTAAAGTGTCTGTGACATGCAAATCATTGAAATACAAAAAGCCAGCAAAAACATCAGTATATTTAAGAAACGTAGCACAATGCACCTGATTTTATTGATTTTGTCACATAATGGGCATATTTTCCTTTGAATTTCGTTCAGCCAAAGTGAAACAGGAAGTGACATCAAAGAGGAACTCTTTAAGAAAAGGAATTCTCTGGTCTTTGTTTATTGAAACAATGTCATTTTAACTCTGACACTTCATCTCTGTCTGATAGTGACTCAAAATAATCTAAAGAAACATCTGATTCTTCTCTACAGTCTGGGTTGTTGTAGCAATGCTCTGTTTACATGCAGACATTCTCTTTTGACATCACTTCCTGTTACTTCACATACAAATATCTCCACATWTGTTCATCTCTGTGGTGAGAAATATATTTTGCAATATTATCGTTGTTATCTTTTAAAAGATGTACATACTTATTACAAACGTTTGATGTCACAGGCACATTAACATTCAGTTTTATGCAGATCTTTAGWTAAATGTGTGGCGTCCTCTCACAGCTCTGCAGGACCTTTACAGTAAGCTTGGGAAGTTATTTAAGCCCTGGATCTTTCCCCTGGACAGCGGTGAAGGCGGGTAAGTGTGGAACAACTTCTGCTCTCATTTTCTGTTGTTTATAAGTATGTTTGATAAGGGGCACTTTTATCAGAGAGGCAGATGTGAAACAGATGTGAGCTCAAACTGAACAGACTAAATAGGGCAAACCGTGTGGGGAAAAACATACACCACAAGATTTTTCTGTTCTGCTTTGTTCTAGTTACAAACATGGGCTAATGTTGGTGGTAATCTTTAGTTTGGTTAACCACTAAACATGTGTGTATTGTTTTATTCTTTTTTTTCCTCAGTAACATTAAGTGTTACCCTTGGTTGGAGACAGACGCGAGTGCAGCGGGACACCTGGTTGCTTTGTACGTTCAGCTGACCGACACACTTCACCACAAATTCAGAGGTAGGGTTTAGGTGGTCACACTCTATAAYAACTCTATAATAACTACACATTATTTAGCCTTCTTCAGTCATTAATAAAGGTTTGAATTGAATCTGAATATGATCTGATTTCCACAGRTGAAAAGGAACTTGTGGCCCTTCAGGGTTTTGTCTACATTTAAAAAAATATTCATAAAAGCATAAATAGTCTTTACTTTAAAAGGGTTCACAAAAAGGCTGAAATACTAGCAACTGCCTTATGTRTTGATGCACTGCAGGATTAGGAAATAGCCAATTAAAGTGTTCTCAAACCTTCAATACAYGTCTAACACATGGTGTAAACATACATTTATATGAGTATGCATATAAACACRGTATATAGTTTTCTTGATGTTTTTGCTCAAAATTCCATGCTGAAATGTAATTGAGTGTATCTCAGCATTGACAAACTACATAATCTTGGTATCAAAATAAAGCTAACACTTAGGAGATTTTAKTAGAAGTGTAAGTATTAAAACWGCTGYTGTTGTTTTAGATTTATTGAGGATGGAACATAATTTTTTTACCTTTTTTTTCCCCTCCCGTGTGAATAATTTTTTGCATTTGACAGTATATAACCTATTTAAAACCATAATGAAGTAAGCTAAAAACTCTTGGAAACCATAAATCCACTTGTGGACATTACCTGTGCAAAGATTCATGCTGCTAAAATTACCTGGAGCAAAGTTACAGAAGTTTTAGTAAAGAAATAATTTTGTGTTTTGTCATTCTGCACAGGACAGACCATGATGGTACCAATAGTAAATGTTAAGAAATCTAAAGGTTTTTAATTGCAAAAGTTATTTATTTTTTCTTACCTGACTGAAAAGACTTATTGAATGTTCTTTTGAAAAATTATCCAAACATTTATTTTGTCACCATATGTATTATATAAAATAATGAGAAATTATATTTGACTTTAGTTGGATCATATTCACTCAAAATCAAGTTAAAAAAAACTTTCAACACACTTTGCAACATATTTTGGTATCTGCTTTGACTTGCTTTAAAAACAAATGTCAAAAATGTTTCCTTTACAGATTTGCTGTAATGTATTTACAGATTTGCAACAATCCCATTTTGTACAGTTTGTTTACTTTCTAATTCAACTGCCTRTCATTTAAACTGTTTTTGTTTTGTTTTTGTTGGATGTAAATATAGTTTCCATGAGCTTTTAGCCAAGATTCTTATTGCTAGCTTTCTATTGATACCAAACATGTCAAGATTCAACTTAAAGATCTTAAAGGAGACATACTGTATCATGCTAAATGCACCTTTTTTTTTTGCATTTATAAACTATTTTTTGTGCAATTATACTGTCTAGGAGTGTAGAAAACTTTAATTTATTCTGTCCAGTTACTGCAAAGATATTTTTATATTTTTTTATGGGTCAAATTTTTCAGTTTGTTCAAAACCTACTGTTGCTTATTTCGTTTCATTGTTTATTTCGTCACACTTTTTTCTTCAGAACTACCATTTATGGTAATGTATTTCGGGCCAACTGGTTTTCATAGTCTGCCATTTTTTTCCTCGCTGTGTGATTTTGTAGTCCATAGCGTCATGCCGAACGCTCGAACGCTCAGGGACCTGGAGGGGGCGGGGTGTGAAATGTCTCATTTGTATTTAAAGAGACCGCACCAAAACAGCTTGCTCTGAGGCGCAACTCAGAACAGGGGGAAAGCAAGGAAAGCAAGGAGTCTGGAGCAACAAAAACGAGGAATTTAGACAAAGCATTGCAGTTTTATTTTAAATAGACCATAAGTGAATGATTTAGATGTGAAAAAGAAGGATTTAAAAGCATGATATGATACCTTTAAGTTAACAGAAGTTAAAAGATCTAGAAAACGGGAAATTCTGGTTTGTCCCGGTACCGGGGTCATGGGGCTCCAGAGGTTAATGTGTTATTAAGCATGAGTAACCAGTGAGTATGTTGGCTTTGGAAGTAATTTGCCTTTTTGGGTAAAACAGTTATTTATAGCCTATAGTTGTGAGTCATCCTTAATGATGTTTTCAATGTTAACTAACCATTAATTAATGATTAAGTACTGCTAAATAAGGTGTAGTTATTATAAAGACACTGTGTCCACATGAATGTTTCAGATCGCCTGCTGCCTGGTCAGAGAGGGGCTCTGTGGCTGTGTCTGATGCAGTACTGTGAGAACTGCACCTCCCCCCGCACACCGGAGTACCTGCTTTACCTGTACCACACACACTTCCACAGCCTGCCCTGGAGACATCTGCATCCCGATACTCAGCTCATGGAGCAGTTCTTCAATGTGAGATACTTTGACTTTTGGATTTGCTGTTTTTGGGTCCTTGTCGCAGGGGCAGAGCCAGGGGGTGGCAAATCTTTGGCCACCCTATTGGCCACCCTGCAGTACACACCCCTTCCACAGTGAAACAACCTTTAGGGGTGTAATAG